GAGATCATTGTGGGTTGTGGTTGTTGGTTGTGGTTGTATCTTCTTAAGTGATCTCGCTCAAGCGATGGCTAAATAAGGCGCTAGATTAGTCAGGTACACATGACCTGTGACACGACGTTAGGAGCACGTGATGTCACGTTATCTCATTTCCCCCCTGTCAGTATACATGAGTTATCTGCATCAAAATCCTGACATCGCTTCGCATTTTGGTCTTGACACCCCCACGCTCGGTGAATCTGCACGACCCCTGTCATAGTGGCTTGCCGGCGTTTTGCAACATATTACATTGCAGATTCATGGCTCCGGCTGTTGCATGGTAGATTAGGATCGTGGATCTGAACTCTGCTTACTGGGATTTCCATCAGCTGCACATCAAAGCAATCATAGACCTTGACCTCCGCCCATTCCAATTATTGCGGAAAAGAACGCCAGCTTTTAGTGAGGAAATATAGTTGCATTCGTTCGGTAGGTCTCGGTCAAGCTCTTTCAGAGCAGATGCAATTCCTTAAAGGGGAGAGAGCAGTAAAGTTGTGAATATGAGACAGTTGTGCGGATTGATTCTCACGGACAGATTATTGTGTGTAATGCTTGTTAGCATTAAAAGCTGGAGTTGTAATTTTTGCTTTGTTGCAGAGCGACCAAGCTAGACAGCACTCATTTGAAACTGTTCAACATTGATGATACATCCATCTTGTTTCTTAACCTTGTACATCATGGCATATCCCACCAACTATACCATACTGTGGGACGCCCTAGCTCCGTTCGCAAATTTCTATCTTCGTCAGCGGTTAGTACTTAAGCTCCAACAACCCTAAAACTTCGTACCTGTGCTGGAATAGCAATTTGCTCGCCGAAATGGCATCCAAGGCATAGTGAGTGAGAGAAAGACTCCAGTATTCGGTTAACTGTTTGTTATTGATAAACGGCAGCGATTGGGGCCAATGTTAGCAATTAGGAAGCAGAAAAGATAACCAAGGATGGCTTTGAGTCTTGTTTTGACTTCAGTTTGATCGCTCACTTTTTCAGCGGCCTGGGTGGAAAGGTGATGGCGCCATGCATGAATGACTTTACCCTAGTAGACGCTTGCACTTCTTAATTTGAAATCGTGCAGTAGGGTCGCAGACCCGAGATATGCATATCCTGGCACCAGCAGGTGCTACCCTACCAATGCATGTTCTCCGTGATGAATCCAATAGTTGCTTTAGATCCGTTGTATCTGCTGTGCCTGCGTGAGCAACTTTCACACCCATTTCGCCACCGGAAGCATTTAAACATGATGTGCTGGAATATTGCAGACTGATCACTCGCCCGGATACCTCCTCCTGGCTCTAGATATGGAAATGACCTTACCAATCTTCGATCGCCTGGAGAACCTCTTTATCGGCGACTCACATATCTCACTGTTAACAACTAGAAGCTCTCCGTTCTTGCTTAGGGTGCAAAATGGTACACGACCTCGTATTGCGCCGATAGAATGCTAATTCATTCCAGTACTTGGGAAGAAGTATTGCAACTCATTCCATGGTTTTCGGTAAGGCTATTCAAGATCGGTAGATGTTCCTAATCTTCTATAGTGGCAAAAACACAAACGGAATACGTACGATATTATCTCCGATTCTTAAGCCAAAGCGGAGAATCCAAGCAGTCGTAAGTGAGTTGATAAGTTGTGTTACTGAAAGGCTGACTTGGCTCAGGTTATTATCGTGGGAACAAATAGTGCTTGTCATGATGAACGATGGGAGTCTAACGAAGAAATTCGGAATAATATACGCGCCATTATCAACAGAATCAAGGAAGAAGATCCAGATATCTTTATATTACTCAATACACCACCTCCACTTCGCGTCGACATAGAATACAAAGCATATGAGGTAGAAAAAGGTCGGAGTGAGCAGAAGATATTAAGAGAGCAAGTGAGAATAGCGGAGATTGCAGATTTGATAAGAGAGTTCAAAGGTCCTAAGGTTGGCATCTGTGATTTATTTAAGGCATTTTCAGAAAAAGATGGCAACTGGTATGTTGATGATGCCCATCTGAGCGAGGACGCTGAGGATATTTGGGCCACCATGGTTCTGTGCGAATTAAGGAATGTGGGAATTATGGGATCATAGTTTGATTATCAAAGCATAAACTTGAAGCTGTGAAGCCTCACTATCAGCCCTTTTTTTCTTTTTCCTTTTAAATTTTCCCGTATGCATGCATGAGTTCTTTGACTACTAATCTATGGGTTGGGCTTTGGGTAGGTGTGTGTAGGCTTTCTGCATTTATTTTACAATGGAGACAAAGACCGGGGCCAGAACTCAGGTCTCGGCCGCGTGAATGAAAATATGACTGGTAGCTTACACATTAATTAAACAATATATGTAGGTGTTGATCGAGAAGAAATACAGACCTGTTACTCACCTTCCGTTTGGCGCTTTACTACTCTTGTATGGGGGACATAGAAGAAGTTTAAGGTTGGAAAGGGTTTAAACTATTTAATGGTTCATACAATCTTTCGAACTAGCACTCAGCATAAATACCAATTCAAACTTGAATATGAAAAAAGTAAGTTTGGTTCGGGGAGAGATGCGTCGGTCAGACTATTGACTTCATCGTAGCCGAATGTGGGGAATGGTTATATCTTGTCCCATCAGGATTTATAAAACGCATTTGACAGCACGTCGCTAACTCAGGTAGACTCCTCTGAATACTTAGAATAGATGTGATTGCTTCTAATGTCTGGGTGACAGTCCTGGCAGCGAATGAAGCGGGGTATTGCGTCAAGTATTCAACATGGAGGGGATTTCCTGAGATGCTGGGCGCAATAGAATTGATTGAGGTGCTGTTTCTTCCACTTATACACCTCGCAGACTTTTTCTCTGAAATTCTCACTTGGAGCTGCACTGGAACTCCTGACTTGATTCTTTACCGTTGGCCACAGCCTGAAGGGGAGTCATCTTATGAATCTTTCCCATTTCTGCTGCATGCTATC